TGCCTATACCATCTATCTACTCTCTTGGAGAATTAAATACACTTTAATGTTGTACCAAAAAACAAAAAAACAAAAACACTTTAATGTCATGTAGTTCGTGGGAAATTCAAAAAAAGAAAATACCTGCCTACTTAGGATTGGAGTTACCCAATTGGGCTACTCAATTATCAATTTATCTTGTTGTAAACCGAATGTACTGTTTACGTCATGATATGGTTTTGATTAAATCGAACGCAAAGTAAAAGAATCAAAAGGGTTCTTCTACAATTATGTATTCTATAGAGTCTTTGCAGTGAACATCGACCAGCTGCAATCATAGTTTGTCACATTGACATTAATGCCTCGCCAAAGAGTTAAGAAAATAAAATAAAAAATTATATCCTTTTCTTCACGAATGAATACATGAATGCGGGGAAACGGAACAAGAAGAAACAACGTGTTATACTATCTAACAAAATAAAATAAATCAAGAGAAGATTGACTTATCCGTTCTAGAGTTAGTGGGACTAGCAACTAATGTCCAAGCAAAGTTGCATGATTATAATATATTTAGTTTATGATTATGCATTAAAAAAATATACTTGCAATAATTTTGTTCCTCGGATAGAGGTATAACTCCAATAATTTAAAACAATATTGGAGAAATAAATGGAAACATTAATGAGGGAACAATGACACAGGGCAAATGTTCAAGTGATAATGCATAATAAATGCAAGAGCCAGACATGCTTTCCCGCTCAGAACTCTTCTTGTAATAGAAAATTGATTTTAAAATAGGGAATAGTTTTAAGTTTACGAAATTGCAGCAATGGCCATTGAAATTATTGATTTCAATAATACAATGCCACAAAGTTTTTCGAAAGATTTCTACTTTGGTGACACTTGGAAGAACCATCCTTCCCTTTCTCAATTCCCCTGGTAAGATTTTTTGTAATTTTGTAGTTACCATATTTAAAAAAAAAAATGATAATCTTGCTCAAATATTATTCGCAAGATCTTGTGAAGCAAGTAAAAAGAATTTTTTTGAACATAAAGTACTTCAGAAAAACAGGGTAAATGAATTGGATTTGTGTTGTTTGGATGAGTTGTTATGAAATCAAGGTGTAATAATAAAATATCTAAAACAAAGGGAAATAGATTCTCTCATGTGTAATTTAACATGATCATATCATGTGGGAGGATCTTAACCATTAATAATTAAATCAACGATGATATGATGATGTGCAACTTCCTATCCTTATATTTTTTCTCTCCTCCTTTATCACCATTAACTCACTTATGTATAGTTATAATTGACCTACATGACATGGTCATATTAATTAACACATGATCAACTCCCAAAACAAAGTAGTATATATAGGCTTTGTGGAAATAATGCCAGAAATGTCTTGAATAACTTTTTAAGATTATCAAAATGTACATATTTTAATAGATGGTTGATGCATCATCTCATAAATACATATCTTCGTAAATTTTAAGGGCTTTGCATTTTTCATGCAATAGGAGAGGATGAGTGATTTCAACAGAAACAACTTAAATGAGTTCCACCAATTTTTAAAAAACAAAAAACAAAAAACAAAATATAAGCTCTGTTTGATTACTGTTTTTAAAAACAATTTTTTTATTTTCAGAACAAAAAACCAAAAAACTCGTTTGGTAAGACCTGTTTTGTAAAAAAAAAATTAAAAAACTGTAACTAATTTTTCGTTTCTAGAATCAAATTTAGAGATCATGTCTTATTTGTTTTTGTTTTTTGTTTTTGTTTTTAACTTTCAAAACAAAAAAAATATAGAAAACAATTATTTTCATAATTATTCTACAAAATAGTTTTAAGAACAAAAACACCAAAACACAATCAAACAGACCCATAATTATGTATTTTTTCAATATAAGAGTGATAGGAGGAAAGTATTTTCTGACAACATGAGAAGTCATTTTGTAAAATTTTAATTATCCAAATTATAGTACGGTCGCTTTTGGGAATTTCTTAAACAAGTTACCAAAAGTAGTAGGAAAACCTTTTTAGTAGAAGTTTGTTGTTTAAATTAGATATTCTCCTTTAATTTCCATTTGGCTGGTCTCATGTTAGTCTCTTGCGTAATGGCAGTGCCGCATAGTTCTCAGAAGATATATTTTTACAGGGATTCTTCAGGAAATTTTGACCGGGATAAAAGGTTCATGTATAAGAGAGAAAACAAAAACAATAAAATCTTATTTATTGTTGCAGTTGGAGTACTAGTCAGAAATTGACCACTAACTAGGCAACCAAACCAATAAAATTACCCATTAAAACCATAATCCACCCAATTATGATAGCCAATTTGGTTGTGAATTTGTCAAAAGGGGAAGGATACGATGTATTTTTTGCAGGGTGAAATATATTAATATAATAATAACTAGAGAGGCAACAATATGAATTCCGATTTTTGATGATCACTGTTGAGGTCTCGAGCAAGCTGAAAATCAAGAGGATGTGATTGAGCTCATTTAGAGTTTTTGCAAAGTGAATATTAAAGAAGAAGGAAAAAACATCGTTTTCACCTGTTGTGATTTTTTGATTTATCATTTAATTTTTTGTGATTTTAAATATATCACTTAGGTCCATTGTACATAAATAATTTATCATTTAAGCCCTCGTGATTTCAAATTTTCACTTAGACCCCTTATTTACAAAAATAATTTTTTCTCTTTTTTATTTTATATCCTCACCTAATGTATTTAGGATTTAAAAAAATTAAAAAATTAAAAAAATTCCCTTATTTTTATCAAGAAAATAAATTCAAATCAAATATTATTTTATTTTATCTATTTTTTATCCGATATCATTATAAAATTATCTAAATAAAGTAAATATCTTATTTTGATAAAACATATTTAATTTATCTTAAATGATATTTTTAAAATTTTAAATATATTTTTAAAATAAATAAAAATTAAGATAATTTATAAATTAATTTTAGAATAAATAACTTGAAATAATTTTTAGACCCTAAATACATTACACGAGGATATAAAATAAAAAATCGAGAAAATTTAATTTAAATATTTATTTTTTAAACCACAAGTTATCTAAGTGAAAAAATTTGTAACCACAAGGGGTTCAAATAAAAATATGAAACTATAGAAGTTAAATGATAAATTATTTCAACACAGTAAGTGTAAGTGATAAATTTAAAATCATATGAAATCAAATAATAAATCAAAAACCCCAGTGAAAATGAAGTTTTCTCAAGAAGAAGATGAATCTTCAAAACATGGAAATATTTTCTTAGCGTGAAAAGTGTAACGCCATAATTGTTTATCAGCCATGTTGGCTCCACTGAATGAGGGATAAATAAATAAGGAAAATATTATATAACCTTAATCAAAAGAGGAAATGATTTATCTTTTTAAAGGATGTAATTTATGTCCTTTTAGCAATTTATAAGTATTAAGGGTACATACTTATAATATTAAAATTGTATTTTTTTTCTCATTAGATATTATTTGCTTACGTAGAACGAAAAAAATATAACTATAATATTATAACTATATATTATTTTTAATACATAATTATAAATTGTAAAAGGACATAAATTAAGTTCTTTTAAAAGGATAAACTTTTAACCGGTTCAAATAAAATAAGGTAATTCGACCGGTTCATAGCTTGTTGTAATTATGGTCCTAGATGGCAGCGTGGTGCCACAAGATCTTATGAGAAGTAATGGATCGTATGAATAAAAGCAACCTAATATAATAAAACACCATCCTCCTCGTATATCATCAAGAGGAACAAATGCTGCACGAAGTTTTTTATTTTTATTTTTTCCTTCTCGTTAAGCACTATTTATTACGGGAACGAGTCTCCTAAGGACCACTTCTCGAGATTATTGGAGCCATTCAAAACAACTAAATGGCAAGTCAAGAGATAACTAAAGTTCATTTCGTTTGTATCAAAAAAAAAGGTTCATTTCATTAGGGCATTAATGCACCTTACTGTATAACCTACCCTTTCCTTGTTGGACATTTCTTAGTTGCATGTGGAGTCGTTGAACAAGAAAGCTTAAAATATGAGAGATTTGAATCCAGGACTAGATAAAATACAAAGTTAAAACTAGTGGCACGAAAAAGAATCTGACACATCTTAATGAAAATTAGCCCAAAAAAAGTAGCAAGGGAAATAATAAAATAAAAAGGTAATTTATGTGCTTTTTAAGAATTAAGGGCCTCCGATTGTAGATCTAGCATGCTAGAAAAGTCATACTCTTTTTCCTTTTATTTTTTTGTGGAAAGGGATAAAGATCTTGCCCACCACAACATCATGTGCCTACAGTTTAAACAAAATAATAATGGAAAGAGAATTCCTGTCATTGTCCAACATGAGGAGAGCGTCACATGGATTCTTATTACAAATATAATGATATTATATTGTCATTCATTTGTTTCCTTCTATTGGCGGTTTCTCTCATTATAATTAATATCCTGAACAACATGCAGACAGGATTTTCGGTGATGGGTGGTTTAGACCCTTCATAAGGAGTTGTTGGCCTAATTGAAGAGTCTTATCCAGAGACTTATCACCCTCAGCTGTGTGTTTATTCATGTCAACAATTTGGGTGTAATACGAGTATGGGCACAGCCATTATTCTCTGTGCATGAAGGTCAATCTTACACCAGCATATGCTTTTTCACATAATCTCAATTTCCTGCTGGATTAACAAATATATATTATATATCTTGCGTTGATTGAAAGGAAAAACCACTTAGAACCGCCCCATCATGGACTTTCGCTGAGAGCAGGGATAATTACCAAAAGAAGAACCAATCCTCGAGTTAATCAATTTTAGAAAGAGTCACCTCACATCCTATAAAAATATTCTGAACACTAAAAATAGATATTTGCAGAATCAAGTATGCCAGTATTTTATTTGGCTTCCCACCACATCTTAATGTGAAGCTCATTTGAAAGTGGCGTGTAAAATAAAATAATCCATCAAGAAAGAACTTGAGAAATTCATCTTTCATTGATATACAAGGTTTATATACAAGTTACAGTGAGGTGAAACAAACATCAAAACTAGAGACTCTCTTTCAACCACCGATAAGCTTTTGCTCGTCGGGGTGACATCTTCCAAGTACTCAAAATTAGTAAAAATTTACAATTCCAAACAAAAGGTAACATCTAATTCTTAGACATCAGTATCACAAAATTTTCCATCCATCCTGTTCTGAACAGCTTTCACAGCAGCAACTCTAGCAGCAGTGGCAGCCTTGTTTGCAGCGATTACTGCATTATTAACATGGTCATCCATGCGCCTAAGGTTTATAGCATTCTCTGCTGTTTTCCTTGCAGCCTGCAATTTGTAAAGACATACATGTATGTATGAGAAAAGTACCAACATTTGTAAATGGATTATAGCAAGAAGGCAACTATGATAGGTAATAAGTAAATGTTAATTACAATTACCTGAACTGCTCGAAGGACAACATCGGTTAGTGGTGGTAGAGGGTGCTTGAGGTTGCCAGCATCCCATTCACCACATCTTCTGTCACCATTTCGAAAAGTGTAAGTGCCTATTCCTTGCCTACGGCCCTCATGCCATGCTCCCTCGTAACAGTGACCATTGGCAAAGTGATAGACCCCAAATCCATGTATTTTGTCCCCAAAATACTCTCCAGCATATCTATCTCCATTTCTGCATCGAAATGGAACATACAATGAGTTAAAAAGAATTTTTTTGAAGCAATCCAGAACCTGCTATTGTCTACTATAGTCTCTCCCACGAGATAATAGATACTAATTACAAGGAAAAACTTTGCAATACTGCCATTAATAGACAATATGCAACATGTCAGATCATGGAATATCTTTGAACCAGAGACATAGATCAGTATTGGACATATCCAAATTGAGATAAGTCAATGTATAAATAATTTTATCAGAAGACAGCACAAGGGAGAAAGAAAATAAACTTGGTACTTCAAATTCCACAAAGCTATGCAAGAAAAAAGTGAAAACTCAGAAGCTGCAGTTAATAAAGTGATAGAATCCAAGAAATCAAAAATTGAATTAGGGACAAGGGAGATGTATCTGGGTGACACTGACAGTGTCCTTCCAAGAAAGTGTTGATTTCAAATCTAAAGAAAACAGAACCAGCAAGAAAATCCGGATCATCAAAGAAATCTATTCACCTGAGCCAAACCCAGTAAAGACTCAATCACACAAAACATCCAAAATCATCCAAGAAATCAATCACAACATAAAAAATGAAATCCACAGTTCTATTTGAAAAACCGTAAGGCCAACACACAAGTAAGTGACAATCAATAACAAAGATTGAATAATAATCTAACACAATAAAGTTAAAAAAGAACAAAAAATTTTCCAATGCTCAAGACCATTAACATATAACAAAGCCAAATTCAATCCCCTAATCTTCTTCCATCAAAATCAACATGAACACAAGCATCATAAACAAGAAACTCACCTAAAATGGTAACATCCAATTCCATGCTTGACACCATACTTAAACTGACCAATATAACAGCTAGCATCGGAGCAAGTTTGCAATCCCATGCCATGGCTCTGACCGTTACACCACTCCCCTGCATAAGAATCCCCTGTATAGAACCTATAAACCCCATAACCATGCCTCAATCCCTGTCTATACTGTCCCCTATAGCGACTCCCTCTCGTCCAGCTTTCAATTCCATACCCATCATACTTTCCATCAACCCAATCACCCTCATATCTCCCATTCACAAAGTAATTGTAAACCCCACTCCCATTACTCCTCCCTTTGTGAAACTCCCCTTCGTAAAAGTCCCCATTACTGTAAAACTCCACGCCTTCCCTTATAATCTTCTTCTTCTTCTCCTTCGCTGTAACCGTCGTCGTCGTCGTCGCCCCACCGGAATCCCCTATGAACCACTGAACCGGTTTCGACGGAGCCTTGCAAAACCCGACCCGTTTCACATTCTCGTCCCAGGAATGCTTCACGAGCGAAAGGGCGCGGTGGATGAGGCCCTTGTTCTTGGACGCGAAGTAGAGCGCGACGGCGATGAAGATCAACGCCAGCAACAGGTTCTCGGAGGTGGGTACGTCGTCGTTCCCGAGGTAGAAGAAGTAGAAGAGGTAGAGGAAGAGGGAACACGCGCCGAAGAAACCGAGCGAGGCAACCGCGAGAACAACCGGGGTTGTTATTCGGGTCGACCCGGTTCGTATGGGGGTGTAAGAAAAGGATGACCTATAAGGTTTCTTGTTCTTGTCGTCGTCGTCGTCGCTTTGCTGGTGCTGCGCCGCCACGAGTTCCTCTTCGTTGATTGAAGAGAGGCTCTGAATGGATGATCGGATTGTTGGGGAAGAACGAAGGAGCGAGGAATGGGTTCTGGTTAGCTTCGCCTGGCTCCTCTGAGTTTCCATTTTTTCGTGTTTCAACTCAATCAGATCTTTTCTTCCCTTCTCCGGTACCGGGATATTCTTATCAAGTCAGCCGCCGGCAACATCTCTCGGCGGCGCACCGGAACCACTCACAGACCCCACACACTAACACTGGCATCAACTCAACCGAACTTGTTCTTGTTCTTTGTGTCAGATAAGACACAACACAACGCTCTGTGGAAACGTAGAAATTGGAAAACTATAATAGAAAGCTTCTTCTTTTTAAAATAATAATAATAATAATAATAATAATAAAAAGAAAAGAGAGAAAGAAAAAAAAAATGAGTTGTTCGAAGTTGAACGTGAAGGTTACGATACGAGACGGAAGGTAAAAATGAAAGGAGCGTGTAGTGAGAGGCGGGTTTGGTGTATTTATGGAGCAATGAGGGGAGTGGGAGTTCGATTCAATACGGTCCGTTGGATAGAGATCAGATGGTGAGATTGGATTTGTGGCCGTTGGATCATGGAAGGAGAGGTTGAGGTCCCGGTCTTGATGGTAAGATTTGGTCGTCGATTCTCTTTTCGCTTTACTGTAGCTGGCCGGCACGTGCCGTCAGTTATTAATATTTAGTGAGTATTATTTTACCATGTGACTCGTTCGCGTGAGGTTAATTTTAGCCCCTAGGCTAATCACCCTTCATCATCATCATCATTGCTCTGCATCTTTTAAATTCTTTATATCTGGCCATCATTTGCATTTGTTGCGTTCCATTTGGGCTACCATAAGGTAAATTTTCTCTGTAAATTTTATTTTATTTAATTAGGTTTTGTTTGAAAAGTTAAACAGAGTAATGTCATTTGCATACATTCCTTATGGTAGGAATTAGGAATGTAAGGTACACGTGTTTATCTAATTTATTTAATCAATTTATCAGTGTATGAAAATGGGATAAATATATGTATTTTGAAAAGTAATATAAATTAATATCAATAAATATGTAGAGGTTAGTTTACCTATTTTTTTAGGGGCAGGATAAAAATTTTAAAATTTGACATCAAATTCTATTTATTTTTTTCAATCAACGGTTATTATTTATTGAAAATTAATATTAATTAATAAATTTGATTCTCAATAAATGATAACCGTTGATTGGTGAAAATCAAATATTGGATATTGGTGTCAAATTTTAAAATTTTACACCAATGTCAAATGATCTTATCTTTTTTTATGTTTACTTTATCTATTATTTTCTAACACTGTTAAATCAGAATCTCAAATAACATTTATTGTTTCATCTTATTCATAATTTTACTTATAAAATACATTTTTATCAAAATAAATTAACTGCTGGTATGAGTGTAGTTGGTGACGCTCCCATTTATACTTTTTATTTCAATTTATTTAATCAAGAGATTATACGTTTGAAAATTGGGGAAAATATTTATTATTTTAAAAAATATAAAATTATATTATTTTAAAAGAGAGATAGGCATAAAATAATATTTTTTTTATTTAAAATTTAAATTAAAAAAATACTTACTTTCTTCCCTATAATTTTCATTTATTGTTTCTATCTTTCTCTTAAAATGACATAACTTATATCCTTTTGAAAGGACAAACATCGTACCCTTAAAAATAATTGCTAAATTCTTGAAAGAATAAGGATGCGTGATAGTATACTGGGCATGTTTAATTATTAATGTTGTTTGGCCAATTTAATCATCTTCCTAGAAAGGAAGGAGCAAATAGCAAGTTGCTTTCCTTGACTGGAGTTTACCCTTCTTTGGATCTTAATTATCATCAAGTTTTTTGTTTCTTTCTTCGGAATTTTGCCCAATACATAAAATTATGATCACACCTTGTACACAAAATTAGTATCTGAGCATATGAAAGTGCTAAAGACATAATTAGGTGTACCACAAAGGAGATATATAAGGGAGGTACCAACTCAGGCATTCAAGTCATAATATGTGAATGTACTGGCCAAACGGATATTTTAATATTCATGTGTAAAGTATGTAATTCTACTTTTGATCAGATCTTCTATTTTGAAATTCGAACTGTGTCACTACTAAATTTCTCTTTTCTAGTGTAGTATTCAAAGAAGATAACGGTCGAAAGCTATGACTGAGCATCCGCAACATATACATTGGTGCATTGAACATTAATTATTTATAGCCGTAGAGTTGGCTAGTTGTCTTACTCCCCCTTGTCCACATTGTAAATTAATTGTTTTAGCTTAATTCCACATTCAAGATGAAATTAGTGATGATAATTCAAGCGCAGTTAAACATGAGTGAAGAAAATTTAAATAGGAAAGAAATAGACAATATAAGGATTATATAAGTTAAATGTCAAATATAATTGTTTTAAGGTCTCTTTCCACGTATAGTATCAAACTCACTAGTATGATCAATTCATTTGATGCAAATGATTCCCTGCTTGTTGGGCTCCTCGAAATCCTTACCAGTGACATCAAACTGAATAGATCCACTCAAATAAGTATTAAAGAGAGTGGTAATTGATGAATCCCTGTGCATGTTTCTCTTGAAAATAGCATGTGTGCATGCTGGACTCTTAGTGACATCGAATATTATAAAGGTTTTGTTTTAGGGAGAGTATCTTTGTGTATAAGACTCATTTAAAAGAGAGAGGGTTAAAAATTTAAAAAGATCTAGATATATGGCTGAATAAATCCCAAATTAAAAGGAACAAATATAACATGGATTATATAAATGAAAAAGAACTCATAAGGAAGAGAGACAAAAAAAGAATCATAACTATTCAAAGATGAATCAATTAATATAAGAAAATAAATAAACAAAAAAAACATAATTTGAAGGTGAACAAAAATAAATATATCCAAACTGCTTGAGAAATATTTTTTCTATATATATATATATATATATATATATATATATATATATATATATATATATATTAAAATATATATATATATATATATATTAAAATATATATAGGATTAATATACAACGGTGTAAAAATAATAAATCTTACATTCAATCTTAACGGTTAATTTTTATCTATCAAATGACTGTAATTAATTAGATTATTCTCATTAATTAATTATTAATTCTTAATAAATTAAAATAACCGCCGGATATTGAAAATTAATGGGCGGAAGAAAAACAAATTAGTGTCAGTCAATTGTTCCATATGACTTATTTATCTTTGTTTTTTTACCAAACCTTTTTTTGCTAAGCAATGACATAAACACAAATTAATTTGGAAAGTTCAGCTCCTTTGAAAGACGTGACTAGCAATTCATCTGGATGCCCTTTTTTTAACCATATTTTAGTCAACGAAGTTATCCCTTATTTTAAATTTTAAAATTTATAATTTTTTAAGTATAGTCCTTTTAATTATAATCTTATATCATTAAAAGAATTAACTTTAAAAATTTAAAATTTTTAAATAAAAAGATCAATCATTCATAAAAAAAAAATCACTTTTGATTAGTAATAAAGGGTAGAGATCAACTTATTTGAAAATCATAAGATGCAATTAGAGATTAATAAAAGGTAATAAATTTTAAACTTACATCAATATAAATTGATTGTTTCCGAATACTTAATTGATAAAAACTAAACAAATGTTTATAAAAAAACTAAACAAATAAATATTGCACGGATAAAAATTTAAACAAGATTAAAAAAAAGTAAAAAAAATTTCAAAAAAATTTTTCTTCGTGATTTTAGAAATGAATAAGCGAAACCAACAAAATTCTTCGTGGGTTTCCCAATTCCTTCCTTTCTTTTTTGTCAACTCCCGAAAACGATTACGAGTTTTCTGATCGGCTAATAAGAAATTTGTTTGAAACACGATTTCATTCAACGATAAATATAAATTAAATAATATCGCCTTTTTCTTAAAAATAGTTTCATCATTTTCTAAAGAGTTTGGATAAGATTCATTATTGAGTTATATTTCTCTCATTTCATATTATAGAAGCCAAATTCTTACCTATACAAAACAGAAGTAAGTTCCACCTTGTGATATTGTTTCTGCTACATGAGACAATTCTTTTTATGTAACATAAGAAAATAATTTCTCTTCATTAATTAGTAAACTTTTTTTTTTTGGTAGATTAATTACGTAAACTTGACTTTCCTTAGGAGGATTTTCAATCTCTTACCATTCAGATGCTTAATGCGATTGTTTTTCTTTCTTCTGATTGTCTAAGATTCTAAACTCTATCTCAGCAGACACATAATTAACACATACATTAAATTAACTATAAATCGTGTTCTCCTTTTCGAAGGCTTGGGTTATTCAAATAATTTTTCTTGGATTCTTTTCTGATTACTTGCTTCACAATATACAGTGTCCAAGGGAGATGGAGAAGGGCAAAAATCGCAGCGCATTGTTGATTATTATTATTATTTTAAGTACAGGACTCGTGATATTTTTTATTTTTTTGGTAATTACAGGACTCGTGATTTGATTGAACTGCAAACTGAATTTTGCTATTATGAAGCAGAACTTTAAAAGTTATTTTAACGCTTACCCAAAAAAAAGAAGAAATTATTTTAAATATTTTTTTTGGTAAACAACTTTTTTATTTGTTTTATTTATGAGAAAAATATTTTTGTTTTTATGCAGATTTTTTTTCTATTACATTCACAAAAAAATAATTGAGTACCATTATAAAATGAAGAGAAAGGAACAAATTAATAAAATTCACTTACTTCTATGTGGGTGTGACATTCCATAGCAAAAACAAAAAAGTTAAATCCTTTATTTATTAGTAAGTACCACATAATGAAAACCAATATTTTAAATAATTTTGTCTCTAGCAAAATGTTTCGGGAATATATATTTTTTTTTATCAAAAATAAAAAATGTTATATAAAAGGAAATGATTATAAATAGTACAAATATGTTATTCATTGTAATATTTAATAAATAATATACCTAGTAGTCTATATTTTTGTAATATTGAAAATATTTTCCTCTCCCGGATAGATTATTTGCCACATTAATATTTTAGAGTTTCCTTTCTATAAATTAAGTCTATAAGAAAGACTAGGTGAAAGTTGGAAATAAGAAGACTTGGATGGAATTCCATCCTATAATCAAACAATTGCAGAAGAATTAGTGGAAACTTTAAAGGCTCCTAGCATATTTTAATTATGAGGAAACCTGCTCTTTAGTCAATACGAACCGAAGCTTGAATGTTCCGATCAATTATTAGAATTCACTGGTGAATCTGCAACAATTTATGCAAAGCCTTTGCACTTTCTGGTTGCGGTAATCACATTTTATCTTTGCCAATTACTGTTGAGGAAAGTATTCATATAGTTAAAAAAGTGATTGATGTGTACCACCCCCATCAACTTTTTCTCAAAAGATAAATAAATAAATAAAATTAAAATCTTTTTCTACACTTTAAATCAAGGGTTTTGTATCTATAATTTAACATGACCACAACAACTTTCCTACACACACAACATTTTGTGGGACCCACAATTTTTGAAACCAAAAAAAAAAAAAAAAAAACTCTGGCACGCAAAACGAATCTCTATAACATAACACAATCACTTTTCCTACAACATAACTCTTATTAAACCCTTAAATCAATTCTACAACTTACGATCAAAAACCTTAAATAGGTTTAATTAAGTATTTTTTTGGTTTTTTAATTTTTGTTTGACAGTGGAGCACACCAAAACTTGTTTCTCGAGGAATTTTATTTCTTTTGCGGTTAAAGGAGGAATGTATTTCCCTTAAACAAATATGTTATAGCATGCACAAGTGTACTCTTGTATTCTTGGCTAAAATTCAAATGTGAGCAGCGTTAACCGAAAGAAACTGTGGGTCAGCCCCAAGCCTCATATGAGTATGTCTCTTGATGATTTTTATGCTTGTGGGCTTGAAGCCTATTATTGATAAAACAAGATGGAAATTCAGTTGTTTTATCTTGCAAAAAGACAGAGATAGAGAAATAAAAACATCAAACTTTAGGACGTATTTAATTGTGGTTTGGTCTTTTTTTTCCTTCCTTAAAACTGTTTTGTAATAAAATAAGTGTTTTTTTATTTTAAAAGTTAAAAGTAAAAAAAAAACCCAGATATATTCTCTAAATTTATTTTAAAAACTAAAAAAAAGTTATAATTTTTAAAACTATTTTTACAAAATAACCATTATCAAACAGTTTAATTTTTGTTTCGAAAATCAAAAATCTATTTTTTCAAAATAGAATTCAAATAGGCCCCAACTCCCTGTTTTATTTTTGGAATTTATTAATCTCATGTTGTAGGAGAGTAATTCTCTTCTACCATAGACACAATCATGGGTGAGATCCATTCATTTATAAAAATAAAAAAATAAAAGATGAGTTATACAAAAATGGATATATGTGTAGAAAGGAAAGTTCTCTTCAACAAGATGAGAGTAGTTTTTTTGTTTTTTTTGTTTTTATGTCAACAATGATACAAGGAAAGAATAAATAGTAAAATAAATCAAGTACTAATGATAAATAAAGTAAAATTATTTTGAGGATGACAAATATTGAAGTGTAATATACTAAAAAAATTAATTAAATTGTATATAGTAATACTTTTTTACTTATTTAATAAAATTAATAAATATTAAATATGAAATAAATAACCCATTTAACGCATCAATAAAATAGCTAATTATTGGTAAAATAACTAGTTGCAATTCAGCAATTTTTATCGCAAAAGAAAAAATTCAGCTAATTATTGGTAAAATAAGTATTTATTTCATCAATAAATATGAAATAAATACTTATTTTATCGCGAAAGAAAAACATGGAAATTCAGCAATTTTTTATGTCATCAAGATTCAAGAGCACAAGGAAAGGATTAAAAAAAAAAAAAAAGGTAATAAATATGTAGTTGCAATTGGGCACAACAGTGTGATACAAGCTTGTAAGAAGTAACAGACAAAGATGCCTACCTGTCCTCCTGTACAAAGTACAAACCATGATAATTCATACATGATTCCCATATCAACAACGTAATTTTCTTGCTCAAATCGAGCTGGTGAAAGCACATCACATTTTCACGAGCTTGTTTCTCAATTGAGCCCGACAATTTTTATTTTTATTTTTAACATATTACCTTGCTCACTAATACTAATGTGTAATATTTGCGGTTGTATACTGCGTATGATTGTAACATTAATCTACGCTTTTTAGAATAAGCCAATGTTAACTTTGTCTGATTACAATTCTTTTCAATTTTTCATTTATTCGGATCAAATTCAACTAAGTTTATAATTTAAAAATTAAATAAATATCTGCAGTATAATTATCCTATAGAACCAAGTATCCTGTCAAAGACAACTCACGCATGGATGAAGAGAGGAGAGCCCTTTAGATGGAGCCCTCAAGTGTTGGTGAGTCATGACTATGTGGAAGAATTTGGGTCTTGTCATATTCACTGCAGATACATTGGTTGAAGGCTACATACGTTATCTTTAGGATTATGATTGAACGATACTCTTAAGCCTTCCGTATTTATGTAATTTATACTTCTCAAATAACATTGATGCAATTATGCAAATAAGTTCTTGTTCATTGTCCTTTTGCTTTTCAGTCTACCTCATTCTTCCTAAAATGATTGATCTCTATGCCATTGTTGTCTCTAGTTATTATATTCCCAATAACATAACATGATTTATTGTTGTTGTTGTTGTTGTTGGGCTAGTTTTTTTTGGGGCTTCTACCTCTTTTTTTAGTACGAACATCTATCTCTTCTTAGATTTCAATAATGTTTGGATTCTGAAAATGAAACTCGATACATCTCACACTAAACTCAGGTTACATTTTTGGTTGGCCTATGTGAATATGATATTCATGTTTTATTATGTATCTGTCCACATATTAGGCAACGTCCAACAGTAGGGTGCAAATGCGATTTTGGCTCAATTAATTTGAAGAAATTCGTTTATAATTGTGCATATTTCATATTCCTGATACGGATTTTTCATTTGATTAGTATATTCGCTTAATAGTAATTTATTTTTAAGGATATTTCTTGACTCCAAAACTAGTTGAATAATATACTGAATAAATGAAAAAATTAAGAAAAACATCTAAATCAGTGTATATTACTGAGTTGTAAGTTCCTAACTTCCTACTCCAACAGAAATATAAACTTACATATCAATTGTTGTCTTATGATTGGGATGCATAATAGGCCTACCGCCTAGAGAATAATCACACTCACAACCTTAGAGGAAATAAATATGGGGTCATGCAATGCAATGTTATATATTATTATTGATTCCATACATCCAAACGAAAGGAAGAAAAGCTCGGGAACCAGTGGTTAAGATTCAACAAAAACAGATCACGGAAATACAACCCGTAACGGAAAAAAGTTGAATGAAATCTGAATAATATGACTTACTAGTTGAGGGTCATGATTTCTAGTGATCGTATATACCCTTGAGATGATGATTCAGTAACCAGCAGATACGCATAAAAACATTGAGATTCAGGGGAAGAAAACATTCTTGGCAGATAAGAAGTTGTTGGTAATGACTAGACTGCCGAGCATCCAATTCAATCAACCAGAATTTATTACATTCCTACATTTGGGTTTCTAAAAAAGAAAATGTCTCCAATCCAACATATATCACATGACTTGATCATACGTTGGGATTATTTTCTAAGCCTCTCCTTCATCCTCTCAATAGCGGCCCTAAGAGTTTCCTCATCCTTGCAGAAAGTAAACCTTACTAGATTCTTTCCCTCTTCAGGATTCAAGTAAAATACACTAGTAGGGATTGCCACCACTCCCACCTCCTTAACTAGATATTCACAAAATGCAACATCATTTTCAAGTCCAAAAGGGGTGTGATCTACAACCACAAAGTAGGTTCCACTGGATGGGAATACCTTGAAGCCTACGGCCTTCAATCCTTCCACCAAAATAGCTCTCTTTGCCATATAATCCCTCTTTAGCTCTATAAAGTAAGAATCTGGTCCTCTAAGAGCAACTGCAGCTGCCCACTGCATAGGATTGGAGGTTGAGAAAGTGAGGAAAGAGTGTGCCTGTCGCACTCCCCATGTTAAGTGTGGGGGTGCTATGGCCCACCCAATCTTCCATCCTGTTAAGGAGAATGTCTTCCCTAAGGAGTTCATTGTTACTGTCCTTTCAAACATTCCGGGCAAAGAAGCCATCGAAATGTGCTCCATATCAAATGCCAACTTATCATAAACTTCATCAGTGAAAACCAGGACATCATTCTCAATGCAAAGAGATGCAATGGCACTGAGTTCCTCTCGAGTAAATATCTTTCCAGTAGGGTTGTGAGGAGTATTTATAAGAATGGCACGGGTATTCTTTGAAATGGTGGACTTCAGCTCTTCAATCGGGACAGCAAATTCTGGAGGGCGCAAAGTGATGCTTCTTATTTTTGCACCAGCCATGGATAAAGTGGCTTCATAAGAATCATAAAAAGGAGCAAACATGATCACCTCATCACCAGGATTTATTAATCCTAATATAGTTGCAGCAATGGCTTCCGTGCACCCACTTGTAACAGTAACTTCCTTTTCAGGGTCAACCAATAGTCCAGTATCTTTCTTAAATCTTTCAGCAATGGCATTGTTTAGCTCTGGAACTCCATAACCCCGGGCATACTGATTTTTTCCGTCCCTGATTGCCTGAATTGCTGCTTCCTTTACAAATTCTGGACCATCAAAGTTGGGAAATCCTTGACCAAGGTTTATGGCTCCATGTTTGACAGCAAGCATACTCATTTGGGTGAAGATTGTAGTCTGAAACTTCTCTAAGCGCTTTGCAACCTAACAAACAAATGACAATCAGCAAGAACCAATGTAAACACATGGCTCAACTATGAACTATGAAGTTCTTCTGTTTCCTTCATCTTTCTTGCATTGTTTTGGTGCGTAGATACAAGGTTCACAACAGAACAAAACTCTCTTTCAAAATCACTCCCTTTCTACAAGGCAAGATATGATCCTAGGTCCTTGCACTGACTGGGAAGGTTTTACAAAGCTAAACAGGCTAGCAAGTAGCATCCTCAACTAAACTGAATTTTTGCAAATACTTCCTTTACAAAAAAACCTAAGTAATTCAGAAGGAAATATGAATAAAAATTAAACAAAAAATGGAAAACAAGAGTGATTTATAGTGTGTGAATAACCCGTTTTATTTGTGTGGCTGTTTGAAAGATTTAGTACAAATAAAAATAAGATAAACAGACACTATGTCCCCAATAGAAGCATTATACTGTTAACATTTAGAATTCTGATTTTGGGGCATACATTAAAATCTTCAGCCAGGTGTATTAGATAAACTAATGAAAGCTAAAAACTTTCATTGCGGGAAAACACATCATGGATAAGCAGCGGGCAAACGGTAGGTGCATCAATGAAAATTAATGAAAATAAAATAAAAAAATTCATAGGGCCACATGCAAAACAGATTATATATATATATATATATATATATATATATATATACAAATGCAAAAATAAAAATATAGATAGAAGCAAAAATAAAGGGATCTGGAAAGATGAAAAAAAGTGCAATATTAAGGGATCTGAAAAGGGGCAAGAGGGTGCACCTGCAAAGGATGGTGCACTTTCTGGGTGGAAGTCTCATTCTCAGTGGAAACAGTGGACATGGTGGCGGCAATGAAAGATGGGAACTTTGGGGTCGTAGGTGAAGAGGGGGCGTGGAAATGATTTGAAAAGCATAGCAATTTGGAGGAATGTGCTAATCTCATTAGTGAATGATTGCAGGTACTATAGACCTGCATATCGATGGAATTTGATTCTTTCTTTTTTTGGTTACAAAAATTTGATTCTTTCCGATGACTCTATGCTTAGTGATGAAGGCCGAGTGCTCTGACTGTGAGAGAAAAAGATAAAGATATTTTCATTTTCATTATTTTATTTTGTTCGAACACAGCAGCATGCGATTTGCACTCAATGGATCTGTGGTACCAAGGTTTGCATAGTGGACGATGATGCTAGCTTCGGAGCAAATACAACCATTTCCTCTACCGTTGATTCAGGGGCATCAAGGCAACGGGAACGACGTGGTCCCTATATTTCCACGTGGTTTCATGCCGCTTTTATAATAAATTCATCGGTATATGAGAAAAATATTTAATCTTTTAGAGGATATACAATTAAATTATTTTAAGAGAAAAAAAATATAATATAATATTTTTTATTTAAAATTTATATTTATAAAAAAGTAACTCACTCTTTATCCCATAATTTTTATTGCTTGTATTATTCTCTTATTTAAAATGATATAACTATATATTTTTTATTTTTTAAAAGACAAGCAGTAAACCCTACCACCATTTGGATAGATGAGTTTAGCAAAAAAGAAACAAAAGTACTCTTTTTTTAATTTAGAGAATCGTATATTTTATTTCGAGATTAATATTTTTCAAGTTATAACAGATAAAATTATTTTTTATATATACTAAAAAGTATATGAAATCCATATTTTTTTTCTCTATTTTCGCCTCACATGATAAGGGTGTTCGCGGTCTGGATTGGATCGGTTTTGGAAACAAAAATCATCTGATCCAATTCCTTCGGTTTGATCACATAATCATCCGTTCGGTTTGGACTTTTTTTCAAATCCGATCCGATCCAATCCAATTTTTTTTCGGTTTGAATTGGATTGGTTTTCGGTTTTTTGAAAATCCTACAATTTGTTTCTTAATTATTGCTCAAATAACATCTTTTGTATATATTGGCTTTGTAATTTTATTTTTTTTAAATACAAAAGTACCAGTGAACGATAATATAGATTTTTTTTTGGACAATAAGATATGAAGCTCTACATATATAAAATTTTGTTGAAGAGACGTGACTAGATTTTTTCTTGAATTTAGTTGATGGGTTAATGGGTATTGAGTTTAGAAATTTTTGGACTATGATGGGGAAAGATCCAAGTAGGTAGAGGAAAATTAATATATCGGATCGGTTTGGATTGGATCGGTTTTCATCTACCAATCCGAAAATCGATCCAATCCAATTAAAATTTGCGATTTTTTTTCGGTTTTCGATTTTTCAGTTTTCGATTTATTCGGTTTTTCAGTTCGATTATTGCGGTTTGAATCGGTTTGGATAGGTTGATGAACACCCTATCACATGACACCACATGAACCTCACACACTTTCATGTGTATGTAGGAGATAAGATTAATGTTTCTATCATGTTGTTAGAAATAATTTTATTTTCGGAAAACTTTAAAAACCCCCCAACAAGTTTTCTCAAAATCACTTAACCCCCTTCCCGAAATTTTTAATCATTTATCCCCTTACTTAAAATTTCTTTATCACTTACCTCCTAATTTGATTTTCCATTCAAAATTTTGTTAACAGAGTTAAATTTTTTAAAAGGTACCAAAATTACCCTTAATTGAAAAAAGAAAAACATAATTTTCTCACCAACGCAATTTTAGACAAACTCACATAAGCAAGACATGAATGTAAATCAACGATTGAATTCTTTCTCTACTATCAACGACACAGAAAACAACGAAATAACACTTTATGCATGTTTGCTTGGTAATATTACATGATTAAGGGGAAAACAAGGCATATAAGAAGCACAGAACATAAAGCTTTTCAGTTATTGTGCAAGCAAATAAAGTGCGGCTCTGAATAAATTTATAAAACCAGATTTGTTGGTCATATAATAGCAGAAAAACTTATAACAAAAAAGGGAATATCTAAATCTGCTGAGATGATGTCTTTTTAATCATTTTATTTGAACAACGACACCAACAATTGTGAGTGCGGTGTTTAATAATAATGAGATTTGTAGGAAACAATTTTAATAATTACTAATTCTAACAAGGCTACCTTAAAGAAAACATTCCGTGAGTTCGTCTAAAACTGCGTTTGTGAGAAAATTATGTTTTTCTTTTTTCTATTAAGGGTAATTTTGGTTTTTTTTAAAAAAAAAATTAACCATGTTAACAAAATTTTGTATGGAAAATCAAATTAGGGGGGTAAGTGATTAAAAATTTCGGAGAGGGGGTTAAGTGATTTTGAGGAAACTTATAAGGGGTTTTTGAAGTTTTCTCTTTTATTTTTACGGGATAGGATATTGTGACACACAAATAATGTTACGCACAATGTTACGACCACATCTTAACCGTTGATTTCCGTCAATCAACGGTTATCATTTATTGCGAATTAATAATTAATTAATGAGTTTGATTTGAAAAATAATAACCGTTAATTGACGAAAATCAACAATTAAGATGTGGTCGTAACATTATGCGTAACATTATTAGATAAACTAATAAAGCTATAATCTTCAGCCACAAGCCAAAAAGATTATGGGATCTATTAATCTCATGTTGCATGAGATAATTATATCATGCAACATAGAAAAGTAGTGGAGTCCACATTATTATTATTATTTTTTAAATGGTGGACCCCACTATCTTGTCTCTATTGCATGAGATAATTATCTCATGCAACATGAGATAATTATTTCCCAAAGATTATATATATATATACACACACGCGTATGACATTAAAACATATGCAAAAGTAATGACAATAGCAACAATAAACGGATCTGAAATGGTGAAAGAAAGTGTGATTTTCAAGGGATCTGAAAAAGGTACAAGAGGGTTAACCTGAAAAGGACGGTGCGTTTTCTGGCTGGTGGTCTCATTTTCAGTGGAAACAGTAGACATGGTGGTGGTGCAATGAAAGATGGGCCTTTGATTTTTAGATAACGCTGTGGAAATGTCACGGTAAAGGCACATCAATTAAAAAATAACAGCACACAAAAATTTGGTCCCACTAAAACTTGCTGTTTATGACTAAAGATTTAAACAAAACAAAAAAAAAACACAAAAAGTTTTAAAGACTATTGCTTCTTGATCCTCTTTCACTTTCTCACGTGCTTCAACCTCAAAACCTCCACTGCTCGAGTCCTTGCAACTTGCAAGCAGCTTGGAACAACAAAACCCATCGAAATATAATAACAGCGCGAAAATTTGATGCGTAATTCATCATTACAAGGAAGGACCGAAAGCATTTTAATGGGTCGCATTCGCTTTTTAAAATGGAATTAGACGGACCATACTCCATCTCAGAAGTCTTACAATGACCAATTTTTTAAATGATAACCCTTTGCAGACTCAACAATGGGAAAAACAAATAATAATAGTAATAGTGATAATATTCAGACTGAAAAAAACAGCACACACGCAACCTTCTTTAGCTTTTGAGGTTGGAAAAACAGCCTTTAATCTTAAAGTGAAATACTTTTTTCTACTGAAGTAAAATTATAAGTGGGACCCATAATAAAGAGGAAAGAAAAAAAAGAGTGGTAGAATTCAATCTTTTTTATGTAAAAAAGTTATTTATCTCATGATATAAAGTGAAATAAACATAACCCAATTTTAAAAGTGTCTAAATAAATCACATGTTAGACTAATTTTTTAATTATTCCTAACTATGAGTTTTTTTATCGGAGAAGGTTATATTTATTACTTCTTTTTTTTACCATCACTTATTATTAAATCTTAATTGTTGATTTCTGTTAATTGAACGATTATAATTTATTAAAAATTAATAATTAATTAATAAGTATAATCCAATAAATTATAACTATTAGATTGACGAAAATCAACAGTTAAAATTTAGTAGTAAGAGGTAGTTAGAAAAATAGATTGTAAGTATAACTTCTCTTTTATTTCAATAAGTAAGTAATAAAATAGTTGAGAATTTAAAAGTTTAATTTGAATATGAATTGACTAATAAAAAAAAAATTCCTCTTTTATATCTCACTATAATTTTTTTTTCGAATTTATATAAACAATCCCTTGGTTAGACGATCAGCCAAAATTGAGTGATTGATGAGGCACCTCATCCAATTTTGTTTTATTTCATTTTGCCATCTGACTAAGTTTGGTGCAACATATTGGATAGAATAATAGAATTATGGATGGTTGCATCCTCCTTACACCAAAACCCAACAAGTCATGTTGCCACTAATGATTGTAAACTGAGGCTTTTGAGCACCATTTTTTATAAGTTTAAATTTAAGGAAAATCACTTCGTATGCAACTGTAAAAAATGAAATCTCCTGCTGTGGACACAAATATTGAAATGGAGTCTATTATTTAATTAAAAAAACAAAAAAAATGAAAAGCATGGCTCCTCATGAATCTGCTGTACAATTTTTTATTTTATGTTGAATGAGAAGTTTAAACTCCTAGAAATTGTATGAAAATATGTGATGAGAAATCTGGCACAGTCATAGCGTTTGGAATATATAACATATGTTTCGTAATTGTTTTTCGGACCAGTATCCACAATATATGAGATTAATATTTTTTATATTATAAAAAATAATTTTATCTCCTAAATTTATTTTTTATATACACATAAAAATATATATAAAATTTATATGAGAAAATGTAAGAAGAAAAGAGAGAAAAAAATGACATAACGTCAATATTAAATTTAACTTTCGATCTTTAAGATTGGACCTTTTTTTATTTTATATTTTTATTTTATATTTTTTACTTTTTTAAAAAAAAAATCAATTTTTTTATCACTTTTTTTTTCTGTTTTTTTATTGTTCGTAGGTTTTAGTGCTTTTTTTTTAATTTTTATTTTATATTTTATATTTTTAAATTTTTTAAATTTTTTATTTTTTTAATTTTTTTTAAATGTTACATTTTTTATTTTATTTTATTTTATTTTATTTCGGTTTTTTTATTTTTATAAAAAAAAATTGTTCTCTATGATGTACTATTACCATCATGGTTGAATTTGAAATTTCATTAGATTTAGAGGAAGAATTGCTCTACATTGAAAAAAAATTTTGG